TCTAGTGTAATCTCCTGCTGTTACTATATGTCGTCAAATGGTCGAGTGTGGAACCAACTGGAAAAATCCAGAAGCTCCTCGAACGTTCTCTTTCCTGTAATGTTTAGTAACCAGTCCAAGTTATAAATATTACAACACCAAATTAAATGCTTCGAAAGCTTTTAATTAAGATTTCTTAAACGGCTTTTAACTCTCCATAATAAAACTTATCTTTCGAGAATTTTTAACGTAATCATTTTTCGCCATTAAAAAGAAAGAAAGAAAGAAAAAAAAAAAAAAAAACACGCCAAAACTAGATTTTTATCTACGTTAAATCAAAATAGTTGGGTTGGAGTCGTAACTATTAGGCCAGACAGCAGCTTGTTAAAATTATTTTTGTAGGCTAGATGCGGCGTAACTCTTCTTTGACGATCTCTAGTGCAATTTTGATCTTTGATGGATAATAAGGAAGATAAAGTTGCCCAGAGGGATGCTACAGAAATCCTCTTTTCTCGTAACCGCAAACGCAAGCATTAGGCTTTCTAACTGTTTGTATATATACAACTTGCTACTAATTAGTAAAATGAGAATGCTTCGAAGAGTACTATACTAAAAGATTTAAAGATCGAGAGATTAGAAGATCAAATCATTAATAATTAATTTCTTTTTAAAATTTATAACATAAAAATAAAATTATCTTATCAAAGCAATGATTATCTCTCAGTTAGTATAGTCGAAATCGAATTTTTCTTAACTAAATTTCCTTGTTAAAATTATAATCTATGTAGTAACTCTAAATAAATTTATAATAACTACTTTTGAATTATTAAGTACTCTAGTTAAAATTTAATCTGTTTAAAATTGATTTATTAGTTTTCGAGTTAATTTACTAAATGAGTAGCAGAAAACTCGAAGAGGTGACTTAAAACTACATTAAAACTTTGAAGGATATTTTTTTATAATAATAATCCACCAACTAAGGAAAAAAAATAATAATAATAATNATAAACCACCAACTAAGGAAAAAAAATAATAATAATAATTTATTTTCTGAGATAATAAATACATAACGTACAGTACATATCAGATTTCCATTTTACAAATATTATTTTTATAAAAAAAAATTCTTCGGTTTTGTTTTACAATTTATATAATTTCTATTAAAACACATTTTAGATATTTTAAGGAATAGGGAAATTTGTTATTATTATAATTATCTTGAGCGTATCAAATGACAATTTCGTTTCTTTTTTTTTCTTTTTTAATCAATTTTTTTTTTCCACGGAATTTTTATAAATTTCCACAGGTCAATCTTACTTACGTTACAATTCATTACGTTAAGACACAAAATCAGTCTCCATCGATCCAATTATACAATAGCCAACAGCTCTTAAATTTTCTTCTGTCTGTCCCTTTATTCAACTTCTACAAACTAAAAATAAATTCAGGAAATTTCTAGATATATAATTGTTTTTTTTATTACATAAAACAGTTAATTTTTATATTAAAAATTTCATAAAAATATATGTTTTTTTTACAGTTATAGAGTATCTTTAAAGTATTTAATCGTTCTATTTTACAATTAAAAAGGAAGAAGAATGGCTTAGATTTTTCTAAAGCAATTTGATTTACAATAACCAATAATATTGCTAATATTAAAGGTTCTACTGTTCTGTAAGAGAATGCAGGACTGTTTAATATTAACATTTTCTAGATATATATACAATGACGTTTGCAGCTAAGTTTAGTTTACACACCACATCAGTCACTCCATATTTATAAGCGGACCTTCTATTCACTGACTACAATGCTGCACTCATTCAGTCGCACGGTAAATACAGAGTATGCCACTCCCGGAAATTAAGATGAGACGTTTGTTGTTTGCACGCTACTTCCGGTATTCTATTGTCCTTTTCCTTTCATACCTTTGACCCTTTACTAAATATTTGATTTCGAATCTAAATAATACTTTAAAAAAAATACTAATAATACTACTACTACAAAAGATAGAGACTTTTAAGAATGAAGGAATGCAATACTTTTGTTACAAACAACGAGTAATATTTATAAGTTTATGCAAGAAGAGAGTCTTTTCTTTAGGATTAAGTATTTTAAAATAAATAAATAAAGTGTTAACGATCGTTTAAGAATCTTTACTGAATTATATATCTACATTTTAAAAAATATTAAGAATAAAATTTAGATATAATCAATTGGGAAAATTTAACTATTAAATTTAAATTATATTAAAGAAAATTAAAAGAGTTCAACATCTATTCAATTAGATAAACGATAACAAAATTTAAATAACTGTAAAAATGCAAAATTTAATCGCATTTTGTGGAAGTAAAAAGAGTATTTTCCATCAATTCCACTCATGCAAAGATCATTTGAGAGGTAATTTGTGAAGGGCCAATGCAAACAAATCATTAGGCAAGTCTCTTCGTTGATTTGTGCAAACAACATCTCTTTTCCGAGTTTACTACAAAGCGCACAATACTATAGATTTACTTCTATCCATCACACACACACACATAAAAAAATTTCCTTTTGGATTGCTTTTTTTAAAAAAAATCTTATGAGAAAAATTACGGAACTGTACTAATGTTTTTCCATTTCCAGTAGCAAATTTCCTAGCGAAAAATTGAATAATACCAATTTCGATTAAATTTATATATATATATATATACCTTCAAATATTTAGTATTGATTTTGATTTTTAAAAAAATATATAAAAAAGTACACATTTTATAATAAAAACCTGGCATTTACTGAAGCAAAGCATTGATTAATAGAGAAGTTGTGTGATCAGCAGTGACTACTTCACTCTTTACTGCTTAGAATGAAGTTGAGAAAAGGTAAAAAAATAATAATTAGAAAATTATTTATTGCATTTTTTGCAGCTGAAAAAAATTGGAGAACTTGAATTTTTTGAAATTTTTTGAAAAATTTCGAAAAAAATGCCGCTGAGAAAACTGACGCAGGGCGTCTGACAGACGTCCGGGGATTTTCGAAGGGCTAAAAAAATAATCTATTTCTGCGTCACTTCGTTCTGACAACTACAAAATATAATCGACTAGCATTTCCTATTTTGGTGGGTTGACGTCATTTGGCCGACCAATCAGCGCGTTGTGCAATCTGTATATTTAGTCGCACGTGGTCAGGACACGCGTGATTTATTTTTTGAGCCGCCATTTTGGGGTTTTTTGAGTCGCATGTTTTAAGCAAACGTGTACGAGCAGTCAGTTTTATATGACATTAATTAAACTAAAATTGCATAAATCCTGTAATTTCCAGTCAAAAATATAATAGTAATTTCGAATGATTATGCAACCCCAATTTCATGTAACGTTTTCATCAAATAGTTTTAAAGAAACAAGCATCCTTATCTTTTGTTATTATGATTGAAATTAATTAAATAAGTACTAAAACTGATGCAATAACATCAAAATAATTTAAAATATAATACAGAATATAATAATATAATATAACAAATTTATAATTATTTTTTTAAAGCACGATTGATTAAAAAAATAAGATGAAATTCAATAGTATTATTAATAAATGTTGTCAATGTACTGCTCATTTTATATATAGGCTATATATATATAAATACGTAAACGAAGTATTCATAGAACTAGTACATTTT